TTTGGTTTTTAACCTTCTCTCCCAAGAGATGTGTCCAAAAAATGCTGTTTTTCTCTGAACTCTTTGTAATTTATCAATACCTTTTAATGTTCTGGCACATGTTGAACATACCTCAAGTGTGGTCTCTGGGAAAACATGAACATGGGCAATTTTATTTCCCAACAGCAAGAGGTGATTTGTAAAAAAAAATAAAAGTTGCAACCACTCTTTGAATAAAGAATGATTCTTCCCAGTGCTACAGAGCCTTCAGACACAAAAATCAAACACAAATAAATATTCCTTACACTGGTAATGTACTTGCTGCTGTAATAAAACTATGCACCATACACATGCTGCAGAAATGAGTAACTGTCCTTATTAGACATCACTACCATGCCTGGAGCACACAGCCTGGACTGGCTGCTTTCATACACCATTCTGCGTGGGAAATAAGCTAGCTAGCACAGAGAGAGCCCCACAGGCAATCCCATCCTGCTGCCACAGCTGCCTGCCACTGTGTACAGCTACATCTGTGTCTGCCCTGCGATTCTTGCCTTGATCCAGCTAATGAAGTTCCAAGTGAAGCATGAATATTGCACGTGCAACATGCAGTAACAAAAAATCACAGCAGAGATTTAGAAGTTCATTAAATGACTGAAGAATACTGTGCAGGAGTTAGAGAACTGCTCCTGAAGACTTCAGCAACACCATCAGTAAGTAGTTTCGACACATCTAATGCTTAAATGAATATTCTCCAAAAGACACTTTGTAGACACACAGACTAAACAGGAAAACATTTTAAATCTCCCTTGTTCTACAGGGAACTCGTGAGAGGGAGATATTTTGACATTGCTTCTGCTTGTTCCCTGACTGTGGGTTTTCCCATCTCTTCCTTTCAAATTAAATGACATGTTATGTATTTCTTCTGGCAGGCTGCTTTTAGCATTCCGCTGTGGTCTAACACACACAGCAGAGTTAAGCAACTGAAGGGCTCAATTCCCTCACACCACTGTGCAGCTCCTTGGAAATCTTCTTCTGGTTTCAGCTCATTTCTACCTTCTCTTTGCTGTCCATAAAGGAGGAGCTGGGCATTTCCTGTCAATGCCTGGAGGTCTTGAGCCTCCCCTCTGCTTTGCACTCGGGATGAATGACACAGTGGAGGCACATCCCTTCTCTGTCCATAGAATGTGAGAGTGAAAAACTAATTTGTCCAAGGTGTTTATGAACAGGACTAAAGACAGATGAAAGGAATCCCAGATTTGCTGACTCACTTCTTTCAGTCTGCTCAGTCTGTGACATAACCTTCTTATGCTGCCTGCAGGCGTTTGGTTGGGTTTGTTTTTTCATTTAAAAGCTGAGACAAATGCTTCTATTACAAACAGTTAGAAAGGTGTCTGGATCAGTCACTTACACTGCCAAATCTCAGTTAGGATGGACTGCAAACTGGGGAGGCAGCAAGTACCTCCTGCTACAGTACACTTAAATTCAGAAGGCTCTGTGACCTCCTCTTAGGGCACTACCAGTATTGCCAGCACAGACCTTCAGCTACCACAACAAGAAACGCGTAGGAAAATCCAGAGCTCTACAATGCAAATATTGCTTTTGGTTTAGTCATAAACAGAAAACAGTCACAGAGAACACTCTTGTGATTCACTCATTTCCAAAGCAAACACAGATTTCCTATTTAAGTAACAGCAGATTTTTGGGGCCCTCAATTAAAATTACTTCCTTGAAATTGAAGTGAAGCAGCCAAAGCTCAGAAATTACAGATTGCAAGTTCCTCCTCTAGTCCTTTTCTCCCCCTTGTGGGAAACCATTCTGTATAATGAAAGGAATTAGGGTCCCCTGTAAAAAAACAGTGCATGGCTGGACAACTAAAAATAGGAATGCAGGATGCCCAAAGCAAAATCTGGTGCTTAATAACTGTCACTTGACTCTGTAAACCATCAGCTTCTTCCAGGGCAGTACCATACACCCTCTGTATGTAGAATCCCTACTGTATTCAGTATTCAGGCTGCATTCACCAGCCCTTTGCAAGATTTGAAATGGGGAAGAATGTGCCCAATCCACACAGGAGATATCTCTCAGTGCTGTTTGGTGGAAGCCTGCTCCACCTTCCTGCCCCTGCAGGCAGCAATACCGTTCAAGGGAAGGAGCAAAGAATGCCTTCCAAGGCAAAATTTCAGTCTCAGCTTTCACACAACTTCCTTTGAATAGCCTTGATTCATTCCCTTATGAACTTCTGTATTCAGGTCAGCCCCTCTGGCTCCCTTTACTCAGACTAGTGCCTGGGCACCCCGTGGCCTGCAGCCCCACCAGAGCAGCCCAGCTCCTTGTTGGCAGAAGGACCAAACCACATACAGGAAAGGCACAGTTCTGCAGCACAGTTTATCTAAAGCACAGCAGCCTTCATGGGTTACCTGGAGGTACAAACAACCCTCTGGTGTCAGCACATCACCCCAGGAAGTCTCCACTGGGCACACAGCAGATTATCTGCTCACATTTTGGTGTCCATGAGGCTTTTGTTATAGTCTGCATCAGGCAGATCCAGGCATCCTTATCTGGCTTGTGCTTGGTTCCCCTCTGGGTGCCTTTGGTTCTCTGACTCCATCCTTAAGCCGGCTTGTAATCCATGTGATTTCTCTGGCACTCATTCTGCACAGTCCAGTGGGGTTCAGCTCTCACATGGCATAGCAAATGCCACATCTTTGAGCTGGTTTTGTCTCAGGTGAATTCCTTTATTCAACCCTACATGGCTTCTCTGTTCCAGGCCAAACAATGGAATAGTAAGACACACACTCCTAGCTTCTGTTCCCATAACAACTCCTCTACCAAATACTCTGAAAACCAGAGAAAACTCCCTTACATACCATATCTGTGAGGGCACAGAATAACCACAAATTTTGTCTTATTCTTGGAATAGGATTATCCAGTGGGTTCAGAGAAGAGAGGGAGTCCATTTTTCTCCTATTTCCAACTACTTCTACCTCTAGTATTGAGCAGTCTCTCCCCCCAATGATACTCTGAGGGTGAGGAGGCAGAGGGAACTAGATTTGTACTGAGGATGAGATCATCTAGGTGAAACCACCATTTCCCCACTCCACTCCACCTCCAGTAACTAGTATTACTTTCCAGTTCAATTTGCTGCAGCTCTCTTGGTCCAGATCCATCAAAGCCTCAGGTAAAAAAGAGGTGCAGCTTTGCAGGATGCCAGCCTCCCCCTGAGGAGTGCAAGGAAGACTGGGAAAGAGGATATTCCTCTTGAGAACTCAGCTGGCTCCCAACAGCAGTCTATGAAAGACATGAGAGGCTGTGGGGCTCAGCCTCAGCTGAATTTAAAGACCTGCTGCAGCTGGCAGACATGCTGGATCTATTCACAAAGTAAAACAGTATTAACTACAGTTAATTAACACTGAACAGCATTAGGCAATCTGTATGGAAAGGTCAATTTTCAGAGACATTTAATTACTTAAACTGTGATTTTAGGGAATACAGAGATGTCTCAACAGGTGGCACACTGCAATATTTGAGCTCTGCTCTCAGATCCAAGTGCCAAATGGCACTTGCTGGCTGTGAATGATCCTGGCTCAAAGTCAAAGAAAGTCTTCCCAAACCACTTTGCAACAAAACTATCCAGTTGTTCCCCATTCAACTTCCAGTTCATTATGCCTGTCTGCTAGGCCCTTGATCTTTTTATCCAGCTAGCATGTGGCTTGAGCATCCTCATATGCTTTCATCTGTTTCCAATATTTACTTTACTTCTCCTGCCTGGAGATGGTGATGATAGAGAGGGACCCAGCAGTAAGGGGAAACTGCACAAAAAAAAAAAAAAAAAAAAAAAAAAGAAAAAACACCTCACAAAACTCCTGTCATTTCAGTGAGAAGGAGATTTCTTTCTTCTGTTTGTTTCAAATCCCACATTGAACTATTTTAACAAAAAAGGATGATCAGCAAAGATAAATTTGGGAAGTTAGACTGCAGACACCTATCCCTGACACAGCAGCACCACTGCTCACCTTGGGGACACCCAAGAAGCAGATGAATGCAAGAATACTTGCGTACATCTCTTGGAAGTTGAAGCAAGCCTCAGTAGCACACATGCATGACTATGTATTCCTCAACAATCTTCATAAACAACATGAAATTATAAGGCTGATAAACAAATTATCTTTCTTCCATTCCAGTTGTTTTTCCTCCCAATTTGCATTTGCTCTGAATAGGGATCTGATGAGGTACTACAATACCAAGCTGTTTCAGACATTTACTGTTTCCTTTCCACATAACTTTGCTGAGGACACAAGAGTGTTATCTTCATCCCCACTACACAAGAAGGAAAGTGAACATGAAGCATTCACCACAACCTGTTCAACATCCTACATGGAGTCTGTCATAAAGTCAAGACTTGAGCCCACACATGTTATTTCCTAGTCTAATCCTCCCACACTTAAGTGCATTCAAAGAGCCAGTCTGTCGCTTATTTTCTCACACTCAACCTTGTTGAAAAGTCACCTTGATTACACTCTGCTGTTCTAGTGTGACAGAGACCATCTCAGCATCAGCTTCTTGCATGGCTTAACACAGGATATTTTCAATGGAAGGAGTTTTATTTTGGTTTTTTTTTTGGTTTTTTTTGGTTTTTTTTTGTTTCCCAAATACAAGGTTTTTCGGGTTGAACAATTTTAAGAACAATTCTAATTTTCATAGTTATGGAGGAAAATAAATAATCTGAAAAAATAACTGAGTATTACTCAAAAGATCTCTGACCCAAGCAAACCACTCAACAAACCTTCTTTCTGAAAGTCTTTTGATACTGCAGAACATGGTTCCAAATTTCTTAACATCTAGATTTCAAAACAACATTAATATAATGATACAAAGAAGTACCAAGCTTTCAGAGAGACAAGTATCTGTAGAAAGAGAAAGGTCCTCAAACTCTACATCCTACTATAGAGTTGTGATAGGATTAAAAGGACAGGATTTATGCTGGTTTTGTTGTTATTTAAATCATCACGGATCCTTACCTCGAAATTCGAGCCCTCTGAGCTGAAAGGTGACTAGGCCATTTCCAATTTCGATCAAGTGCACAAAGGCATTTAAATAATCTGATGCCAGAATAAAACAGTCTCCTGTGTTGTAGTTTCCCCAGCGGCCCAGGATCAAATCTCCACAAAGAGACTCCTGCAAAGATCTTGTCAAATGCTCATAAAAAATGGAGTTCAGATTATTGTCGTCATTTCCTACAAACAGAGCAGCATACATTTGTAAAATAAAAAACTATACAAAGCCATTCTCCATAAAATTTTATGTTCTTTTTCATTCCTGCTTAAATCTTCTTCCTCTAGCTAGATGATATCTTCCTGATACTTTATACAATCTACATTTCCTAGGTAGCCCTTCAATGAATCAGGTAAGTATGAACAATATTGTAAATAAAAGATCACATTAGTGCTAGCACATATTTCAGACTCAATCAAATAACCTCCATGATTCACAACAGTAAGAATTTCTTGGCTCCACTAAATGTGGAGCCAATGCTAAGTTAATGTCTACATACTATCTTAATCTAAAGAAACAAAAAATCGTTATTACTTCAGAACATATGCTTAAATTTGAACCTTTTTTCCAAGATTTTTAAATACTTTGGTCGCGCAGCAACCAATAATTTTGTTAGGATTATTTTTCTTTTAGTCCTCCAGGAATTTTTACAAGGCTTTGTCCATGAAGAATATATGCTTGACATGAGAACTGCTTTCCTTTTCTGCAGTGCATCAGTGTCCCACCTTCAATACTCTCAAAATGCTGGTGCACAAATACACGTACAAACCAACATCTTGTAGGTGTATTTGTATGCATGGGAGTGTATGTGGATATGGGCAGTCATGCATTTTTATGTTTGTGCATATTTAGGAGGAGAGCTAACATGGAGGTGAAAAAACCCAGAAGATGAGGCTTGCAGAGGCTATGCCTTTCCTACAAATTCCTCCTTGATACCAGAGGAGGAAAGGGCCTGTAACTGCACTGCTTTTTGTGCCCACAGCCATTACGCACCCAGCCCTGGTAGGTTTGTCCGTGTGTGCCCGTGTCCATGCAGACACACTGACCTGTGCACCTTCTGGATTGTATTGGGTCAAAATTTAAGCAAGTCAAAAAATAAGTCTTTTAAACACATGTACTAAAGGAATGCTTTTCTTGAGCTACAGGGTTTAAAACATAATTCACTTATTAGCATATATAACAATGGTAAAAGTCATTGCTATCAGGTGACAAAATGTCCTTGGGAAAAATCTTAGCTCCCTGCCTTAAATGATAAATAATTAAAAAGCACCATTCATGCTTCAAACTACTAATACCTCTCTTGCCTTCTTGGACAGCCTGGATTTAATCAATTTCTGCTTGACAATGTGTATTTGTTCATGTTTATTTGTTCATGTTACTGATGTAATGGATAAGGATAAAAAGGGTGTGAGGGGTAAACCAGCAATAATTAAAATGTAAATTTCTAACTCTACAATACAACCCCAGCCATCTATGTGGCAAGATAAAATTGCCCTCATAACACTAAAGTGAAAAAACCCATATATTACATATATTAAACCTTGGCCTCTCTCACTGGGACCGGATTTTGGCATGTGACACTGGTATCAGCTCCCCTGCAAAAAGGGCCCTGTCCCACCAGGCACTGAAGAGTGCCAGCTGATGTAGCACATGTTCTCTGTGTCCACTGATGTGCCAAAAACTGCTCCCACTTTCCAGTCTCACAGGAACCACTCAGTGTGGCCTGGGAAGCTGCTCTGCACGGCCATGGTGCTCATTTAATACACTGACACCCAGCAGAACAGCCCACCATCTTTCCTACCTCTTCCTCTTTCAAGTTTCCCAACTTCCCTTCTATCCCCTCTCAAAAAGGTTACTCTCCAGGGGAGACACCTGTCAGCCCAAACAGTGGCAGGGGTACCACTAACTTGCTGCTTTTTCTCCAAAACCTTTCCCTGCCCTCAGCTGACCTCTGAGTCTAGCTAGGGTGCCTGCTGCATATTCCACACAAACTCCAGGGTTATGATTAACCAAGCAATCGGCAGCCCAGCAGCTCTCTGTCTGATCAGCTACACATAACTGAGGAGTGAATTTATTCATCGGGTCACACGACTTAAACTGGTGCTCTGCTACATTTAAAATGCTCTGGTTTGTACACACAACATTTAAACCCTTTGCATCTCTTCAGCTTCCCCAGCAAAGCCTTGCCATTGTAAATATATCACATTCTGCAAATGAAGCAAGACACCCAAACTCCCAGGCCATACCTGCATCTTTTTCGATCTGGATTGCCAGTCTGGTGTTGGAATGGTCCGATCTTTTGGTGCTGGAAATAAAGACATGTTTACAGCCAATTCTTCTTTTTAAATAAACAATTCTCACAATAAACACTTTTTTTTTGTTTAACATGTCTCTTCATTTTGCATTTATATAATTAGGCAGTTCACACTAATCCATTCATCAGGCATATATAGTTATTTCAAGTCATTATTGCTATTGATATTGTAGCTTATCAGCACACTCTTTCCGCCCATTTCCCTTCTTGTGGGACACAGTCCATTCACAATTTGGAATCTGACACAATGCTATGTACTTAACTAATTGAACTGGCTCCAGAAACAGATCAGCCAGGTGCTACCAAAACAACGAATAGAAAGAATATTTAATCAGTCCTTCTTTCCTTCTAAGCCTTAAGGGAAACAGCTGGACTCAAGAAGTTTTCTTTGGGTAAAAACATTTCTGTGGGTGTGTACCATCTATGGAAAAACAACAATACAAAAATACTTTACTTAGTTTCATACTTAGCTAGGCAGCAACAGGAGAGTCCTTGGTCATTCTTATTGCTTGAAAAAGAGTAAATTAGAGGGCCTTAGTTCATGCAGGCACTAACCCTGTCACCCTTATGAATGGCATGTTCCTTATTCACTATTTTCACTGTAACAGTGGAATATAAACAACACAGGAAAAATGATTACAAAAGAGAAAGCAACTAAAAGGGTAGATTGGATTGAGCTTTTATTACTACCTGTAACAAAAGATACTATTAAAGTTGTAAAAGAAGGAATGAGTAAATCGCTGCGGGCCAGCATGTGTTAAACAGAAGACAATGATTGCTGTGGTGAGCTGGGATATTCAACACCAAGTCCAAAGCACCTCCCAAGCACCCAGGGGTACTTGGGGCAAAAGTGGAACTCTGGCTAATAAAAATGTTTTAGTAAACATCAATTTCCCTGAAATACTGCTCTGGCATGGGTATATAAGGATTTCAGGACACTTCATTGAGAATACTGCCTCAAAAGTTTCCCCTCAATCATTAGCCTTAACAGAAGACCTAGCTATTGTTGGAGTCCCAAGCACAGAAAATGTCCCTTTATCTGTGCTGACAGGCTCAGGCAGTCAAGAGAACACTGGGTTTAACTTAAGACCATGGAGAAGGCTTCTAAAACTGAGTGGAGAATCTGGGAATGTGAATGTGTGAGTTAGATAGAATTATATTAAGTCACTGGGTGAAAAATACAGAGTTTAGAGTTTGAGACATAGTAGTGAATAAGAGACAACATGGAGGTTCTTGGGCATTGGTTTGTCTTTGCCTTTCTTCCCTCTTCTTCATGGATTTTAGTAATATTGTGTGATTAAGTGAAAAAGTCCACAGTGCAGAACATGGGGGTTTGGTTATTGGGTTAAAAGTAAAAATAAATTAGTTGGTATTTGATAATTGGATCGTTTATGCTTAAAAGACCTTGTGGACAGGGCCTGAAGTTGCCATTTGTAGCTTGTTAGGTTAGTGTGTAGAAGAACTTACAATCTGTAAAAATGTAATATAGATAAGGTAAAATAAACATCCTCAGTCCAAATGTGAAAATCATCTCTCTGCTCGTCAATCCTGATCCAGGGGATAAGAATTGAACACTTTTACAGTTGGTGCCTCTTATGAGACACTTTTACATTTGGTGCCCCAGAGACTTTCACAATCTATCTAATATGCAAATATGATCTCTCATTCCTTGGAAAATAAGACTAAAGCAAAACCAGGAGAAAGCCCAAACAACAGCCAGCATAAGGTTACGTGTGACAGTGGCAAGGACCTCATCTGTACAAAGGCCTGCAAGCACAGGGGAGAAGAGCCACACCACCACCTTTCCTGGCATGGGATCCAAGGGAGACACCCAGGTGTGGCCCTCACCGAGTCCTTGGTGGAACTGCAGTGAGACTGGCACGGCTGGGTGGGACTGGCTGGGGTCTGGCTCATGGTGTGTGGAGCACAGGGCCCAGAGGAGATTTTGAACAGGCTGGAGATTGACCAGTCAGCCTCCACAGCCTGAATTTAACTACTCACTGTGAAAGACCTGCAGACGTGCCCCAAGGAAGATGGCACCAAAGAGGGATCAGTTATAAGGGAGGCTTTCAAACAGCTTAAATAACACTGAAAAAGGATGGTATAAAGATAATGCTGTCTTTGAAACACAGCAGAGACTCAGTACTGGTTTCCAGGATTCTGTGTGTAAGTTGATGCTGAATCCAACTGGGAGAAGGATGCCACTGATGTGTTACAAAGTCTTTTCATCTACTCCCTACAGCCTCTCCAAAAAAGTTGTGGAAAGCTGACCAACAGAAACATTGCACACAGGTTTCTATGTAGTAGACAGAAGAGGAATAGATTTGCTTTAGTTCTACTTCCTACCAAAAGCAACTGATTTTTTTCCTTAAAAAGGCACATTCTCTACTTTGCAAAAAGTATGACTGAGAAAATAAGAGTCTTAATTAAAATTATTTGTAATTAATATTAATAAATAATATATCTACATAGATTAACATTTTATTTGAGCTATTATTTATCTTCCTGCTTCTGGTTGGCTCAGTTCATTGTAACTGCAATTATAATTTCCTATTCAACAGAAAATAGCAATGGGGGGAAGGGCCTTCAAAGCAGTTCAGAATATAAAGAATCATTTCTCTTTAAAAAGGTTGTCAGAATTCTTCCACCCTGATATATATCCACCTGCATATGCAAGAGTAAGCATAAACATTAGGTTGTGGAATTCAATCAATTTCCTATTCTCAGCAGAGAAGCACTGCTGATTTCCAAATGCCTATGTTTTAACATTATGAGACGCTTTATTAACTTTCAGTCCCTCTGAAATCAGTGTGGTACTGTAAGGTAAAAGTTAATACTATTCTTTACCCCTGTTTTTTACCATTTCTGTTCTGGAGGCACATTGAGACCCATAAAATCAACCAATACTTCAGAAAATTCTAATCTATAATAAATAGGAATACTTTTTCTCAGCATGCAGCTCTGGGTCTATTTCTTCCCCATCCCCCTCTTATTTTTTGCTTTGACAGAAAGATGCATGAAACAATCAGGGAAAATCACAAGTGCTTTGGGACACTGCAAGACGGATGATGCAGCCTGACTGGGAAAAAGGGAAGGAAATAGAACAGCTCTCACTAATAAAAAAAACCCCAACGAAGCAAAACCAGGCTCCATTAAGGCTTTGTTTAAGCAGCTAAAACATGGACCTTGGGACATGAGACAAGATTTTACCTTTTCAGACAATACTAGAAAAACTCAAATCTTTATACAGCTGTTATGAGGTATAATTTTATTTCATTTTTTTTAAGACCAAGGGTAATATAGACAGTTTATAAAGTAAACTTCGGTGCTGAAATTCAGCTCAGTCAAATAAATCAGGTAATTAATTCTGGATTTTAAAAGACTTCTACAATTATTAGTAACCAAAGCTGTGTTTGTATCTTCTTGAAGGCAATGGGAATTTGCATTGGATTAATCTATAATCCACTACACCTAACAATCAAACCAGCAACACCTTTACTTCTCAACCAGGACCTCTCACTGTGAACTTTTGGGATTAATAGGTGATTTGGGCTTTCCTCCAGTGGCCTCTTACTTTATATTTGATTGTTACCATTCATCCAATGTGATAATTAACTCAGTAATTGAATTTCTTCCTGAATTGCATTATTCTATGCAAACCAAGTACAGTTCCTCCAGCAACTGCCCTAGAGAAAAAGTGACTGTGTTGGACTGTCTTCAGCTAAGTCCTCAGCAATTTAAAGCCAACATCCTGCTTAGTTCCTGAAATATCTATTTCATGCTCTTTTAATCCCCCATTTACATGGACACTGAGATAACTCACTGGTTTGTGTAGCACTGTTCATGCCACTAAAACTATTGCTTCCCTTTGCAAAAAAAAAATAAGTAATTTCCTATCATCTCCTTCCCAAACATACTGCCTGGAAAGATTTTCTTCTCCCACTTTAGTTTTCCAGTTTCCTTAGAAAGAGAGAAAAAAGGCTGAGGGGGATTAGGATAGTCTGGAGAATACAGAGAGTATACTGAGAATCAGGTAAATTGAGGAAAATAAATAAATCATTGCTGTTTTGAGGCTAAATGAATCATTATTTCCAGAAGATCAAAATAAAATTCCAGCTGTTCTACCTGCCTTGCTGCTGCTGAGTTTTACCCCAAAACACAAATTCAAGATTTCCACGATCCCTGCTGTGTAGAAGAGGATCTCTACTTTGAAAGAGAACAAACCAAAGAAAAGCAGTTTCCCTCTGGGAGATGCAGAGATGCCTTTCTAGGGTCAATCCAAAGTTTTTCTTTGTCTGTGTCCAATGAATTTTAATCCAGTCTTCGATGACATCTAACAGGCAAATTTAAAAGGGAGAAACTTTACTGTGCTGCAGCCCTATGATTATTCATGGAAATCTGGAAAAAAAATCTTCAGTATTTTCATGTGAATGCCTAATGCTGCTGGCTCTATAAACAAAGGCTTAGCATTAAAAACACAGGTTAGCAGTTACAATGTGAGGGAGGAGGAAAATGACATGGCAGAATAAGCAGGCACACATCGGTATTTGAAGGACACCAGAGGTAAAAACGATGGTATTAATTGCAAGGGGAAGGATACTGAAGTAGTTTTGAATCAATTTCATCTAAAAGACAGAATTATTTCAGTGTGGTTTTAACAGCCAAGGCTGACAAGCCCCTTCATGTGTGACCCTGCCCAGGTTTTCTGGGTGGCTGCATGAAAGAATCAAGTTGGGTTTAACTCACATGAAGAAAGAGGGATCTCTTAAAAATGAAAGCAATTTCTCCTTCCTGATCACTCACTCCTACTTTTATTTTTTATGCTTTCTTCCTCCTCTCCTTCCCTGACTGGGCCATTGTTTCATCTAACAACAATAAAAAGTGGCTTTGATTGCATACTAGAAAACTGGGGGAGGGCTAAGCTATAAAAAGTCCCAGTTATTAAAAGACAGCACTGTTGAAGCATCCTTTTAAAACATAGAAAGGTCTTA